TGTTGCAAATGCACAACTAAGTCCTTCTGTTGTACTTCTGAGTAACGAAAGCTCTTACAATATGGATGTGGATTAATTAGATAAGTAGCATTTAGCTGTTGTAAATCTGCAACATCTGCCTGGAGAGGGTTAAGGTGTCAGAGGTGGATTATCCAGCTCCAGAAAGTAAACGGCCTGTACAGGGATCAGTTCCAGTCATTTGCATTTCTGGCTCAACAATGCAGACTAATGACCTGCTTAAGAGAACAGGAGGAAGGAAAACAAGGCAGGGTTTTTACCTTCTGGGCCTGGATTATCCACCTCTGGATGGCGCCACCGCCATGTTTTCCTGTGAGGATGTTTTGGTTTTCCACTCACAGGTTGTTGTCGGTAGACATATACATTTAGTTTTTGTCTCTTTTTACCAGAACACAATTTGTTGTATTTCTTGTACAGTACATTCAGTCATCCACAAAGAGATGGAGACCAGATACATTGTAGACACAGCTGTGCTGCGGCACATTTACAGAAGCTGCCAAAACAACTGAGTCTTACTGTCGACAGAATTTCACACCTGAGCTGTGAAACTCTGCAGCTCCTCTGGAGACACAAAGCATTTTGTCTGAGGCTTCATTCATTGGCTGGTCAGTCTAATACCCCTTTCCCACTGCCCGAAAAACCAGTTAAAACCCAGGCGCAATCAGCTTTTATGGCATTGGGAATGGCTCACTGTCCCATATTGACCCGTTTCAAACAACTGCTCCGATCGACATACAGTGGGAGCATCAGACTTGGGTTACCAACTAATTTATGTGATACTATAGAGTGCAACGTATGAACGGCATAATATTGGGTCTCTAACAAGCCAAACCAGCTCTGCTTACATTCGATAAACACAGAGCAGCAATGCTAAGAGAGATTCTGACGAACAACAGAATGAAACCGTAAAGCACACTGAATACACCCTGGCCTCCTTACATATATTCTCCATTGTTTACTTTTCTGATTTCTGTTGCACTGGTGACATCATCAAAAATAATGTGGCGTGATGCTGTCACCAGACACGCAGCCGTGGGGGGACAGATACCAAACAGCTTGGCAGCAGGGAGTCCGACCCAGAATTTTTTTGCTAATGGGAAATGTCGATTGTTAGCAAGTCGACCCATGTTTGAAAAACATGTTAACCCTCTAATTTCAATGGGAAAGAGGCTTTATAGGACATGTTTTGGCAGATTTATGGTTCCTCCACAGGTGAACTTAAATCAGACAAAGGGTAACTTTATTTAAAAGTTTAAGGTTACTAGTTGTAAGTTTTAAGAATTCCAGATTAAATGTGGCTCAGTTTACCACATTATTCAATCTTCTATTAGCCAAAAATGTTTAAAATTAATTCATTTTACTTCTTCTGGACATTTCTGATCTACTTTAAACATAGAATTCCAATAAAGCAGAGATGTTTGTTATTATAATGTTAGAAAGGTCTGGTAGGATAAATAGTTGCTAAATGCACCCAATTTAAAAGCATTTTATTCTCCTACACTTGCTGTTTCCTTTAAAGTGTTTATATCTTTTTTTTTTTTGTCAGTCAAACACGTTGGACAACATCGCCTACATCATGCCCGGACTATGAGGATCCTGAAATGGGGAACTGAGGCTTCATAAGCAGCAGAACTGACAGGAAGGGTCCGATCCTGGGTGGATCCTTGTAGCTGAACTAGAGCCTCTGCTTGTCGTCTGAAGATCTCAATGTTTTCTAGTTTCAACATGTTTTTAAAGTGTATTTTTTAAATAATGTCTCCCATTTTTGTAGTTCCCATTTTTAAAATAAGTCATTTTATTGTACATGTTGCTGTACAGCTGTCTGTTTTGTGAGTGGTTGAATGCTGGAATGTGCTTTGTTTACAAACAACGAGCAACTTGAATTGTATGTTTGTTGTCTTAATTAGGTTTTTTTTACTTAAACGTGTGAAAATTTAAACAGTTGTATCATGCGCTTGTCAATCCAGGAAATATTTCTCATGTGATTATTTACCATGTTTAAAGTACTTGTTTTATACGGCTTTCCTTTTAAAGTGTGTGCAGCGTTTTACATTTTTAATGTGTTTAGACTTTTAGGAAATGTTGGACAAAACCCAACTGTTGGTGTAAACTCATGGAAATGAGGAACGCTTCAAGGAATTTCAGTTAAAAACTGATCAAGAAGGCAACATTAAACTGTTTGCAAAGACCTCTGTGTGGTTTTATGTTGCAGTTTCCAGTTATTGACATATCCAAAACATAAAGGTTATTTAATTTTAATGATTTACTCAGAAAGTGAATGGAATACATTTATTATGTTTATTATATTTAAATGTGATGTTTATTATGTGTTAATTTCATCTTATTAAGATGATTATGGCCTACAGCTAATTTTAATCCCAGACTTTATTCTTACATTTTTTTTCTTATAGAAAGAATAACTACATTGCTTCTGTTCCCCTAGTCTTCCTCCAGACTCTTGGACTTTGACTTTCATGTGGAAAAAAAAAATCTTTGAATCACTTAGTAACAGCTTTGGGATTTTTTATATTAGTCCAGGAGAGATGTAGCCTGATAAACCAGACTAAATGTGAGATTAAATGTGTAATTTAGTCTGGCCCCGATGAATGAGACATCGGAAGATTGTTGATGAGAACAACCCGTTGTTTATCGAACCATTTCTGTTTTTATTGGCCAACGCTCTGACCAATGGGTGCAACTGACTAGTAAGCGCGACAGAAAGCTGGTGGGGGAGGGTAAACTAACAGCTTGTCAGTAAAATGGCGAATACGTCCTTAAAAATAAATGAGCGTAGAGAAAAACCCAAAGTCTAATCCTTCCTAAACATTCTAAAGCTGAGTCTAACGAGAACTGTTCAATAGTTGTTGCCATCTTCCTTGTGCTTTCTCCAGCGTCGCTCAGCTTTGTCGTCACGCCCTCAAAACACATCTCTGCGTTGTGATTGGCCAGCCAGTTCTAGGGCCTGGGGCATTGATCAAGGCTGGACCACTCCCAGCCAAAAGTTATTTTGACCGCTGGCGGGTGGGGCTAGTTTACTAGACTAGGAAAGATGTCTCTAATCCTGGTTCAGAAATAAATGGATTAACATCAGTAACATAACGGTCTTGGCCAAAGCTCTGGATATGTCTTTGTGTGTTTGCTTCAAAAATATTTTGATGACAGCCACAGTTAGTTCCTCGTCTATCATCCTGTAACTATAATGGGATTGCTTTACTCTCCTCTCAAGGCTGCTGTTATCCTTTCTATTTTGCATTTTCTCGTCATACTTTTTCCTTCCACTAAACTTTCCACTCTCATTCTTAGGCTGTACTATAGAGTCAGCTAAATATGTTTTATTTAATATGTTTTATTTAATCCACTGACTTAGGTGGAATCAACAATCAAAAATTAGGACAAAGACACAAAGAGTCACCATGATGTGTATTGAAAAATGATTTGTTTAAAAAGTTGCTGCATGTTTTTCCAGATCTTCTCAGCTTTGTATGAATCTTTGAAAAGTATAAAGTGACTCATAATTGTGAATGGGTAAAATGATAACCAACATTCTAGAAAATGCTAATCTGAACTTTAATAAAATTATTTTCAGTAAAGAAATATACATGAAAAAAATAAAAAATTGGGGGGATGGCATATCTGCTATGCTATCCCCAGTAATAAAGTTCTCATGAACCCAGGTGCTTAGACTCTCTGTTACTGTTTTTGCTATTGAATTTGTTCATTCTTTACATTTACTTTTTTATGCTGTGCATAAATAAAGAGCTTTCCCTAAAGCAGCTTAGAAGAAATTTGAAATGCATTTTTTTTAGTTATATGAAAACTTACATGTAGGTTATTTAGTTGTGGAATCCAAATAGTCGCGAGGAATAAACTGCAGTATCATCAGTATAACGATTTAATTTATAACCAATCTTTAGTGAAATACTATTGATTTAAATAGTGAAAAAGAAAATTAAAGACTGATCCATGTGAAGTTCCTTTCCAATTATTGGTCATCCCTGTGGTCAACCTACCAGGTGATCATAATTTAGAGGCAGTTCCCCTCTAAAACAGAAGATGCAACATTTTACTCTTAAGTGGAAAGTTCTAACCCATTTTCCATTTTACTTATTTGTATATTTCAATAAATTGACAATAAAAATACAGTAAATGAATCAAATCAGTATACTAACATTAAAAATGATAAATACAGAATCCATGCTTTTTTAATAACTAGTTCATATTTTGTTTTTCCTTTAAACATAGGTCTCATTGTATTAACATATATAAATGTTTTATCTGTTCTGGTTTCAGAGGATGCAGCAGAAAAAAAAAATTGCAGATCAGAGATATAAAAAGTAGGATGCAACTGGTATAAAACAGGTTTAACTTTCAAATATAAAGCAACTGATTATTCACAACATTCTGCTGCAAATAAAGAAGACTGACAGAATTCCTACTGATTTAGGAAAATGTTTTGATGTGTTATAGGGAGTTTGAGTTTGTCTCTCAGTGGTGGTTCTAGACCAAATGTACCAATTAGGTCAATATACATTCATAATTTAGGACTTTTTACATATTTTTGACTTAATTTACGTTAAACTTAACATATTCTATAAAATCTGAATTAGAACTCAAGAAAAACTGATAAATTCAGCTGTAAAAATTATTTTTTTTATTTTTTTTTTTCTGGGATCCTATCTAAATACCACTGAAGCTATCACCCTATTGTTTCTAAATAATCAGTAAAACAGAATTTGTACAGAAAAAAATTAAACAGATCCAAATGACCTATCAGTAACATATATCATTAGAATTTCTTTGAGTATTATGTCTTCAGTACCAGGGACGGAGCTAGATGGGGGGCCAGGGGAATCAATGGCCACCATTACCCAATCATTGGCCACCCCTACCATTTTTTTTAAATCTAATACAGATGGTGGCAGCAGTGATACTCTCAAGTGGAATATCCAAAACATTTAAAATTTTTGTGGTTAATTATACACATCTATATACTAACATCAAAGATGATAAATACAGATTTCATGCTGTTCCCAGAACTAGATTTTGTGTTATATGGGGTAAAGAGAAAATGTGTCTCTGCAAGTCATCTGGGAGTCTTCAATGAAATCAGAGATAAATTACAATTTTAATGAAAAATTATTAAATAATCAATCTATGTAGATATTAGTGCTTGTAAATATCAATTTTATCCAGAATGTTTATTGATACAAGTAGGTAACGTAAGTAATGATGATGGAAAAGATTTACGCCCCAGATCTCAAAACTGAAATAATTGTATCCACTATACCTTTTATTTAGAAAGTGAGGCGCCTACTTGTTAGCAAAGGCTTTAGGAAAGTATAGTTTGTCTTTATTTAGAAAATCTGGATGTTTTGCTCATTAATTTTCCTGTTGGAACAGTGTAGNCATTGTATTAACATATATAAATGTTTTATCTGTTCTGGTTTCAGAGGATGCAGAACTGGCGGGCCATGAAGTTGGGTGCAGAAACAGAAATGTACTTGAAAGAACTCTGCACGGATCTAGATCTGCTCACCCTATGTGTAGCTCTCTATATGCACTGCAGTCAGTGTAACCTAGAAAAAAAATTGCAGATCAGAGATTTAAAAATAGGATGCAACTGGTTTAAAACAGGTTTAACTTTAAAAAATAAAGCAACTAATTATTCACAACATTCTACTGCAAATAAAGACTGACGAATTCCTACTGATTTAGGAAAACGTTTTGATGTGTTATAGGGAGTTTGAGTTTGTCTCTCAGTGGTGGTGCTAGACCAAATGTACCAGGGGGCCAGGGTGTTTTCATGGGGGCACAGAAAAGCATGAAAAAAAAAACAGGGCAGGGGATTCAAATATATTAAGAGAGCTGCATGAAGTGACATTCCTATTAAATTAGGTTTGATTAAAATCCTACGACTTATTACGTCAATATACATTAATAATTTAAGAATTTTACATATTTTTGACTTAATTTACTTTAAAATTATCGTATTCTATAAAATCTGAATCAGAACTCAAGAAAAACTGATAAATTCAGCTGTAAAAAATATATTTTTTATTTGTTTTGAAACTTTGTTTTTTTCTGGGAACCTATCTAAATACCACTGAAGCTATCACCCTATTGTTTTTAAATAATCAGTAAAACAGAATTTGTACAGGAAAACAATTAAACAGATCCAAAGGACCTATCAGTAACCATGTCTGTTCCAGCGCATATCATTATTAGAATTTCTTTGAGTATTATGTCTTCAGTACCAGGGACGGAGCTAGATGGGGGGCCAGGGGAATCAATGGCCACCCTTACCCAATCATTAGCCACCCCTACCATTTTTTAAATCTAATACAGATGGTGGCAGCAGTGATACTCTCAAGTGGAATATTCAAAACATTTAACATTTTTGTGGTTAATTATACACATCTATATACTAACATCAAAGATGATAAATACAGATTTCATGCTGTTCTCAGAACTAGATTTTGTGTTATATGGGGTAAAGAGAAAATGTTTCTCTGCAAGTCATCTGGGAGTCTTCAATGAAATCAAAGATAAATTACAATTTTAATGAAAAATTATTAAATAATCAATCTATGTAGATATTAGTGCTTGTAAATATCAATTTTATGCAGAATGTTTATTGATACAAGTAGGTAAGTAATGATGATGGAATAGATTTACGCCCCAGATCTCAACTGAAATAATTGTATCCGCTATACCTTTTATTTAGAAAGTGAGGCGTCTACTTGTTAGCAAAGGCTTTAGGAAAGTATAGTTTGTCTTTATTTAGAAAATCTGGATGTTTTGCTTGTTAATTTTCCTGTTGGAACAGTGTAGATTGACCCTGAGGTTCTGGTGCTTATCCGCTTTTGGCCACCCTTCAGTGTACATTAGTTATTGCCTGGCCACCCTTATAAAAATGTTCTGGCTACGCCTCTGTTCAGTACAGGGGCCATAACAGGGGCCAGATCATGATTGACAGGGGCACTGCCCCCCGTTGGCCCCTGTCTAGACCCGCCCAGAGAGCATTTCTTTGCAGCCATCTAGGAGTCTTCAGTGTAATTAGAGTTAAAGAACAACAACTTAACCCATTTAATGTGTATATAATGTAGAACCATAGATTCATTTACCAGCACCCATGTATAAATATGTGCATAGCTTTATTAATTAAAAACAGTCCTTGTGAAAATCTGCTCTGTCTTTAGGGATTTATTTGGAAAATATGGACCATGAACAGCCTTTATCAAAAGTTTCTGGAAGTTTCTCATCACCAGTTATTAATGCTTAATGGTTAGTGATCAGCAGAGCTCCGGTTTCATCAGCAGAGGGCGCTGTTTCCCAGCCTGCCAGGTTTGAGTCAGCCTGTAGGAATCAGGAAGTCAGATCTGACAGCAGAGGCAGAGATGGCAGCATCCAGCTCACAGTCCGGTAAGACACAGCGCCCTGTTGTTTCTCGCAGTACAGCAGCAGTGAAGTATTATAGTAATACTACTTTTATTAAGGAATATAATAATGGCGGAGGAGTGGGCGGGTTATGCTGCAGCTCTCCGCTGTCAGTCTGAGGGGAACTGCGGCCCCGGCAGCAGCTGCAAAGGGCCGCCGCCTCTTCTTGGAAAAGTTCCCCCTGATTCTGAGCAAAGGAGCTGCTGACACACACGGCTGCACACATGGGCTCTGCAGGAACCAACCGAGCGCAAAATAAACAACAGATTATCTGCTGTTATTATCTGTCTGCACGGAGGAAGACAGTTGGACAAACTTTGCTGAGTTCATGCACTTTGAGACAACAACACTGTAAGATGACGCATCTGTGTCGCCTTTTCCTTGCAGAGCTTATCCTGGTGGTTCTGGGCCCGGATAAGGCAGAGGAGAGAGGTGCAATCCGCTCCACCCTGGGCCTGGAAGACAACCAACAGGGCACAGATGTTCAGGACTGCAGCAAACATAGAGGGACAGCTGCAGGCAGGCGGGTAGGATTATATGGAGACTTACACCTCACTGAAAGCATAAGTGCATTTCATCATGTCTTAATAATTTATATGTATCTGCTCACTGGTGGTTCTAGATTAAACTTACCAGGGTGGTATGGAAGAAAATCGTTACCATATTTCAAATGAAAAAGCATTTCCAGAAATGCTTTTTCATTTTAAGAATGTGGCTGCATTGTTTGACTCATAAAAGGAATTAGTAGTCAATAATCCTGTTTGCATTTTCATTTTCTTCTTTAACACTGCTCAACCTTTTACTCTGCTGTGTTTTCTCTTTGATTATGGCATAAAATGTGACGTCTTAAAGAAGAAAAGTGCAAATGCAAATAGGATGATTGATTACTAATTTCATTTATGAGCCAAATAATACAGCCACATTCTTAAAATGAAAAAGCATTTCTGGAAATGCTTTTTCATTTTCACATTTTACATTTCAAATTGACTTTTGGTATGTATTTGCTGGGATACATTTTGAAAAATAAATCTCAAATGTCTTTCTTTTTCATTATAATTAAGTAAAAGGATGAGCAGTGTTAAAGAAGAAAATGAAAATGCAAACAGGATGATTGATGACTAATTTCATTTATGAGTCAAACAATGCAGCCACATTCTTAAAATGAAAAAGCATTTCTGGGAATGCTTTTTCATTTGAAATATGGTCAGGATTTGCTTCCATAGGCTGGAGCCAGTGTTTTTCCAGTGGAGGACACAATACAACAGAGTATTTATTACATTTAGTATTTAAGGTGATCCAGAAGGTTGCAGATTCCTGATCTAACAAATGAAAACCATGACCGTTTGTTCATACGGGTGAAGCTTAAGTCTTTTTTTAATTTCTAAATAATTGTTAAAGTAAATTTTAAAGGTGAATTTATAAATTGGTCCAAGGGGCGAATCGGTTATGCTCTCTTCTGTTGACGCATATCGTCTTAAGAAATTCATATAGTATTATACTTCAAAAACTAATAAAGAAAAAATGTAAAATTTATCTTAAGATATCTTAAAATATATAGATTTTACCTTAATTGAGATGATCTGTCAAAATAATAAGTGTTTTTACTCTCAAAATACGATAACCTGTTATTCTCCACTAGAGATATGATATCAGAGATTTCTTTTCTTATTTTACACTTAAATCATCCTTTTTTCATTGGTACCTTTTCTCACTCACCTCCTCACAAGAGTAAATGCACCCATATCAGGAAAACCTGATTTATATTTACATTTTTGCAGTTAATGATTTGAGTACAGGGGCCCGGGCCCCTGTCTAGGACTGCCCATGTATTTACTTTTAGTAGTTGTATCATATTAGTTTTAGTGTTTTCTAGCGACTATATGCCTGTTATAGAATATGTGTTATTATTTCACATTTTTTATACATTACAATCAAAGACTTCAATGCAAATTTTTTTTTTACTTTGATTTGATAAAAAAATTCAAAAAACTGAAGGGTATGGAATGGATTTTTCCTAGAATTCCCTAACCCCTATATAGAGCACTATATAGTGCACCTTTAGAAGTAGTGTGTAACCATGGTTACTAGATGAGCAGATACATTCGAGAATGGGATGTGTTTTGGAGAGAGAAAGAACAAAGATGGCGCCGGCACCGTGCCAGGAGCCAGAGTCACTTGACCAAAGGGGAGCGAAAAGTAGTGATTGAGTTGTTTGTTTTTCTTATTTAAAGCTACAGTGTGTAACTTTTAGCGACATCTAGCGGTCAGACTGCAAACTGCAGCAACATGAACATCTCCCCCCCACCGCTTCTCCCCCCCAACAGTACGGTGAGCGTTACGGGACAAAATGTCTTCAACGACGTCCGCATCACCTACCTTCTCAAGTGATGAGGTTTGTTTCCATAGATAATTTTACAGATAGTATTTCATTAGTCTGTGTAGGGTATAGATTTCATGTAGACTTAAGATAATAAATATACCCGTTATTTTTTCTACATCGTTATGACGTTTTGGCGATCTCGCAATCGCTAGTTTGTTGGCTCTGCGCTGCCGTAGCGCAAAGATGTCTGCCTCCATTGCTGCGAGACCCGCTCCTATGTAATTATAAATAACGAATTCTAAGGCAACGCAAATATTAAGGTTAAGAGGCTGAGCTCGTAGATGATGATAAATAACATAGTTTTGTATAATATATTACATTTCTGACTGTATATCCCTGTAATTATTACACACTGTAGCTTTAAAACCTAAGTCATCTTAATCCATTGGCAAATTTTCTTACACGCTCAAATCAAAAGAAAATATTTTCAAGAAAAAAATGACTTAGATAAAACAATAAATGATTGTCTGGCCATCGTTTTGGCCTTTTGGCCACATCTAATACCCCTTAATAAAATCAGCAAATGCCATCATAAATGAATAACATTAGAGAACAAACAGCCTTATGAAGACCAGAAAAGACAGCAGACAGGTTAGTGATAAGGAATTAAGGAGTAATTTATGGATTTCTGGTCAGATTAAAATAAAAAATTTTAACCTGTGTTAAACATAGTTCAGATGACAGAAAGCTAACACAGCCACCAGCCTTAATCTGTAGTTCTAATGGTGAATAATAGTTGTTTCAATGCCAGTATCAGAGATCTCTCTGATACTGCAAAAAATGCTGGAATCGGCATCTGGATCAGCTAGTATTGGAGTTCAGGCACCTTTCTGACACTATGTAATTTAATATACGAATTAAGATAGGAATATATTTACTGGTTAGTTACATTAGTTCTTCGCCTTTCTTAAAAAAGTGGAGCTGGGCTGCCACCTGCTGGTTTAGATGGTTGAAGAGCTGCTCACCTGACACCCGATACTCACAACACAAGCATCGGAATGGTATCGGGAGAGAAAAATGGTATTGGAACATTGCTAGTGAACATGGAGGTGGCTGTATGATGCTGTGGGTCTGGGGCGACTTATGAAACTAAACACAAGCCAGACCTTTGAAGAAACATGTTATATTCTGCAAAAGACAAGCAGGAAGATGATCATAAGCATGCAGCTACAGTAAAGCGGTTTGAATGTTCTCCTTCATATCAGACTCCTTCGCATCAGGGCTCCCTTCCCCGAGGCTCCAGCGCCTTTCAGCACAACTACTGGTTACACCTAAAGCTGTCACAATGACACTACACACATTTACACTCTTTATTTGCACATATACGTGAGAAAGGGGCTGTGGAAACGTGAATATAACTGGATACAGGGATCTGCTTGCTTTGATCATTTAGGCTGTATCTGGGTCTCTTGCAGGTCGAGGTGGTCTCCAGTCCAGCTTGGTACGGCTCAGCCTGCAGCCCAGAGGAACGGACAACGCATATTTCATCCTTCATCGCTTTATCCAGCCCTGGACCACATGCCTTCCTGCTCTGTGTCCCTGTGAACGGGCGTGCTCACGATGAATCCAAGGCGCTCGATGCCCTCGCTAAGCTGTTTGGCCCTGATGCAGTCAGCAAAAACACCATTGTTCTCTTCACCCACACTGAGGAGCTGGGAGAGGATGAGACACTGGAGCAGTACATCATCACATGGCGGAAAGACCTCCAGGAGCTGGTGGGGAGGTGTGGCGATCGTTACCATACCCTGGAGAGCTGCAAGGCTGGCGGAGAAGAAGGAAAAGCTGTGGAGGAGCTGCTGGAGAAGGTGGAGCAGGCGGTGAAGGAGAGTGGAAGCAAGCACCTCAGCTGCCCTCTCTACCAGGAGGCTGAGGGCAGGGTGAGGCAGCGGCAGATGGAGATCATAAGGCAGAGGAGGGAGGAAGAGCCCTCTGACTCCCAGCCAGAAGTGACTGAAGAAGAAATGGATGCAGTCAGGGAGGAGGCAGAGAAGAGCGTTGGGGATCTGGATTTGGATCTAGGTGGTATTTTCCCCTCCGGTAAACAGGTCTCTTCTTCCTCGGCTTCTCCATCATGGCTGGGGGGTTTATGGGAGAAGCTGGTGGGCTGGTTCCGGTGGCTGCCCTCCCTCGTTAGAATCGAGGCTCTGTTCGGGGCCCTTGTGGGGCTATTTGTTGGAGGGCCAATGGGGGGCACGGTTGGGGCCACCGTAGGGTCTGTGGCTACGGAAGTGAACAGAAGGAAAACAGAAAAAAAAAACTAAATGACAAATATTTGCACCTTTATATCTCTGTGTCACTGGGAAAAAAACGTTAAAAGATTCAGTTTTACTGTGTTGCTTGACAGTATTTCTGCATAAATATGACCTAAAATGTGTTTTCACATCAGATAATACCTGGAAGAGGTAGATCACTGTAATCATAGAGGAAGCACAGTGGAGGAAGTGTCAGGATTTGGACAGGATCCATCATTTGATGAAGCAACATTTTTGGGATTATATATTAATTAATGTAGGAAAATATCTAGGAACAATTCATTTGAAAATTTTTAATGCTAAAAGGAGAGCAAATTGGTGGGAGAGCAAATTTTCCAAGTAGTTGATCAAGCCGCTGATAAAAAAAAATAAAAAGAATTATCCCGGATATGTTTTTTTACTATTTGATATATAAATGAATAATATTAATTTGAAAAATTTCAAATTATTTGTAACAATAGGAATGTATAAGCTTCTTAAAAAGCCTTATTCATCATACTTGTTGTTTTCTGTAATGAAAGTGAGGATAAAGAATGCAATTAAATCGGAAGCTTTTATTTTGCAGTAAATCTGTTGCTGGTCACACTCAGAACCCCACAAACACGAACATGACTTTAAGAGATAATACAAACTCCTCAAATCAAACACTACTGCTGTACCACCAAAGGGAAAAGTCATAACCCCAACTAGGGAAACACTGATATGAACCTCTGGGCGGATTCTGATTTCAAAGACCTCTTATGGCTGATAACTGGTATCTACTGATGTCATGTATTACATATTTCCCTTTTAGACTTTAGTCGGAAAGGACCAATTGTTGACTTTGCTTCTGTACTTCATTTTTAAAACCTACGTGTCACTTGACCAAAAAGATACCACATGATCAATTCTCCTGAAACAAATAAACTGCAACCTCATGGAAATAATTGTGAAAAAATGTCCTTGAAGTTTTACTTCTAGGGCGGATAAGTAAAATGATGAGCTGTACTAAAAGCTATACAAAAATCCATATAAATAGTTTGCATTCAAGCTCAAAAACCTTTTGTCTAGAACTCCTTAAGTGTCATTTTAGTTTGAATTGGTTTAAATTCTGTATAAAATCTTTTTAAAGGCACCTTTTGCCTTCCAATGATTCATAGATTAATAAAAAAAAAATAATCGACAGATTATTCTGTTAGCAAAATAATCACTATTTGCTGCCCTACTTTGGATTTGCTTTGGTAACTTTGTGATTATTCACTTCTTTGGGTTTAAGTGTGTGACTGTAATGTAAGATGTGGAAGAGCTGAAGGGGTCTGAAATCTCCAAGTCTCTGTAAAACTGGCTCATTGTCCCTAAACAATAAGTGAACCAAGTATAATCATTTTGTCTTATTATAACTGGTATATTTTTATTTTTATTTAAACTTAAATATCTCAGCATTTTGGGTCATATTTACAAAGGAATATCCAACTTTTAAAAGTCTATTTATCCAAACATGCACTACAATTTCTTCAATCACTGCTAAATGACCAAAAACGTAATTAATCTGTTGTTTTCTTCCTCTGCAGCTTAGTGCTGAACCATATAAACAAGATTATTAGCTTTAATCTTTTCGGCTGGGATTTGTTTGAAATGCCTTAATTTTTTTAAGCTTTCCTGTGCAGTGTCCTTCTTCTTTAATAAATGTAGTTATCCAATCTCCGATAAATCTGGAGAAAAGCTTTTTTTTTCTTTAAAAGAACAAGTTCTGTGTTTTCCTGATATGATCCAAACGCTCCAACATGTAAACACTGGCTTTACTTCTCTAATGACTATCACATCATGTGACATTAAAAAAAAGTGCATACTAAAGGGAAAAAGTGCTCTCCTCTTGCATTCTTCTCATTGATGTCTGATTCATTTTGCGGATATTTAAACAGGTTTTTAAGTATGCATCAATTTAAGGAAGTTACTCAGCTCTGGATATTTGTGGTTTCACGATGATGTAATTTAATCTTTGGAGCGGATGCTAGATGACAAAATATTGCCGTTCATTTGGTGGGTTTGATGGGTTTCTCAAGCTAAGCTGGGTTTAGAAGATCTTATACTTTAATTATTTTTTCCATCATTTTCTGTTTTTTTTTTGTGTTTAGAACTTGCCTAATGTCTCCTGATGCTGGTCATTAATCCTTCACTGGAAAACCCTGTGCCTTAAACTGCATTTTTACATCACTTTTTGTTTACTCAATACATTGGAAAATGTATTCTTACCCTGATATTGTTCGATATCACAAACACAAATCTAATAGTTTTGGTTTTGGAAGGAAAATGATGCGTACATTTTAAAAGGATTTGGATGCGTTTCTTTTTTCAGCTCCCCTGAGTTGATGCCTTGTTGAACCTTCTTTACTTACAGCGCTCATTAAGAGCAACTGTGTTTATAAGTGAATAGAATGTGATCTGAAACCCAGTTTTAAAGGAAGAATTCATATAACTGAATCTGGGAAATTAATAAATAATAAAAAGGAAAATATAAAGTTAAAGCATTGGATGGCGCACATGACATGAAATAAATATTTATAAACATTAAACTGAAGCCAAGAGTAACGAGTAAAGGTTGTTTTAAAAATTTCAGCAATAGAAAGTACAGATACTTGTGTGAAAATGTAATGAGTAGAAGTCAGAAGTAGGAAGAAAAATAAGTAATGGAGTAAAGTATAGATACCTAAAAAGTGTACGTAAGTACTTTGTTACTTGACGCCTCTGATGTACGGTAATAGTTAGCGAACCCCAGGAAGGTAAAATATAAAACATATAAAATGTATAAATAAAAAATATATATATAAATATTAAATCTGGAAAAAATATATTTGAAAAGAAATTGAAATAACCAAATCTGAGAGAACAGCAAAGTTGCTCTCAAAAAATCCCCTTTTTTCAATTTATTAAAATGTTTTAGGTTTAATTTTTGGATTGCATTTTTTTTGCATTTTTTTTTTTCAAATATCAATTTGCAAAATGTGCCCCCCAATATCCATTGCTGGTGAAGATTCTCATCCATTTGGGTCATAGTCACTCCAAAAAAGTTAAAAGAAAACAATCCCACTAGACTTTGTTTCCAAGTTTGAAGATGTTTCGCTTCCCATCCAGGAAGCTTTTTCAATTCAAAATGTCAGGAATAGCGTTGTTATAGAATGAACGAAAAATCCATTATCCGTTAAAAAAAATGTGTTATTGGCTTCCAATAATAAAGGAACAAAATTTACTCCTTAACTGAGCATCGCTTTTCTGTTTCTATGGGAGGTGTATCATGATTTGGGCAGAGCTGCTGGACTTTAGTGCATTTGCACCAATGATCAGCTTACACACCTGCAAGTTCTCCCCTAAATTACCTGGACGACATTCTTCCAAATGTGGTCAAAACACACGCCACATTTTCCAGATTTTATTAGTCCGACACGTTCAGAAGGCATGGATCCCTTCCTCTTCCACACTACAGCTTTGCTGCAATTTGTGTTTGTTATGTGTGAAAATCATAGATTTATAGGTGTGTGAATGAAAACTCCCTCAAGACACTTTAAGATACACTTTAAGATCCACAAGGTGGCAATGTTGATCTTTTTGTAGGAGTTCACTGTTAATTGTTTACTGCTTACCAAGCAAATAAAAACAGCAGTTTTATCAACATCTTGTCAGTTTTCTCTGTCCTTTTTTTACTCTGAGCATTAAGCCCAGAATAAAGGTCATTTTTTTTAAAAACCCATAAACTCTTTCATGCTTTAGAATAAAGTGAACAAATGTGTCCCTGCTGCCTCCCAGACACCCCCCCTTCTTCCATAGGGATGACTTACAGCCTTGACACTGACGTAATTGATACTCTGCTAAAACCGTCCGTCACAACCCATCCTTACATCTCTGTTGTTCGCTCTGGGCCTCTGCGAGCTGCCGGGCGGCCTCTGCCTCAGGAACAGCTAGGCGTTTCCGAATGTGGGTGGTCCAGCCCGGGCGGGAGGGAGAGAATTAGCTCAGCTCTCATGTTTCCCCCAGAAAGAGAGTGAAGGGAGGGAAAGGAGAGAGAGAGAGAGTGAATGGGAATACATCTGTCTTCCAGATGTGGCCTCCTCTTGTCTCAAACAGTGGGGGGGAGAAGAGAAGGTCTTAAAAGTAAAGGAAAATTGGTGCTAAACAGTTTTTTATTGTTGGGGATTACAAATCCACCATGGACTGCAGTGCATGTAGTCCAGCCGCCAGGATCTGCTGCTTTGTTTTCTCTGCAAGGAACGCCAGAGAAACAGCACACCAGAACCCCTTGAAGTGAATGTATATGAGAGAACACCTGTCCAAATATTATTCAGTCTTAGTAGAGGCACATCAGGCAGAAGATGGAGAAAGACAGAGAGGGGATAGATTGGGGACCATGGAGAAAAAGACAAGGGGAAAGTTTGCAGGGATCTTGAGGTGGAAAGTAGCAGAATTGAAGGCGGGTTGCCAGAACCGACTGCCAGTGGCACCTCTGGGACACAGGAACCCACCAGGGATGAGGGTATGACTTAATTTGTGTTTGTGTACATAATCTGAGCCAAAATCTGCACAAACACATGAGGGAGGGAGCATTAACACACACCATATAGCTTCCTCCTCTTCCTCCTCCTCACAGTAGAAAGGTTGCTGTTAAGGGCCTTGTGGTCCCTACAGGATTTTATGTGGGCTAGTCCGGCGGGAGATGTTGGACGCCGCAGTATTTTTTTATTATTATCGCACCCTATGGGCTGGAAAAAGACAGCAAACCAAAGGAAAATAAACAAGATGACACACTTTTTCCTGAGGCGGACCAGGCAGTTTGCTCTCTCTCTCACAGCTGGTTTCCACAGAAATGTTTCTGCATCACAAATGCACTGAAAGATCAACACATACATGTATGCATGTTTGTTTGGATATCTTAAAAATGATCTGTGATAGACTAACAAAAATATTCAAATAAAATTTTTCTTGATGGTCACATCAGCAGCAATTGCAGCTACATGACCGAAACTTGTTTACATAAAACATGCTGCTCTGTTGCTATAATATCACTCTAATTTATTTCATATAAAAAACAAACATTAACTTTTCTTTTAACTCAAAAGTGATGACATATATGAAACTCAAATATCCTGTCACATATAATGATGGATCGAAAATGCAAGAAAGCAGGGCTGTAAATCAGGTCATTTTCAGAGTCTTAAGGAGCAAAAACATCATTGTGACTTTTGAAAAGGCTCGGCTGTGAATTTCTCCTCTCCCGTCTCCCCTAGCAGACATTTCAGACATTATAAACCTGGTTTTTATGTAATCTTTCTTTTAAAGCCTCTGTCTACAACTGGTTAGAAATGTGTCACAAAATACATTCCAGTATAATTAAAATTAGATGCTTCATATTTACTTAAGCTTTTAAAATTGACACCCAGACCCTGTTACATTAGTATGTTGATGATGGTGCCTAAAATAACATATTTCTATTATAATCTTACACAATACTTCAGATATTTCCACAAACTCACATTTGTGGTCCACATAAATACAGGAGAAAATCCACACATGCACATAATAAATCAAACATGCACAAATGAAATGTATACATTCACATGACAAGATTTACAAAAGTATTTGTGATGCATACACAATTATATTTTGATTTATAATATACCAGTGGTCTTTGAACTGCATTTGTGTATGGATTGTTGAGACTCATATGACATGACTCCATGCACAAATGCTTTATGTTTCAATAAGCTTTCCAATAAATTGGGTAACTTTTTTAGCCATTCACAAGAACGTTGACTTCCTGATATTTTCCAAGATGAGTTGGTAAATTCTGATAAATTTAATAAAAGGAAACAAAAAAAAAATGTAGATGTTGCAGCAGGTTCCATTAATACATTGTTAAACTGCAGCTTCGCTATAAAATTCCATCAAGGAAATGCAGTAAAATAAATAAAATCTCCCTAATATTAGTTAAATTAAACAAAATTTGCATAATTGCCCTTATAAGCATCTGTTAAATTTAACTTCAAAGCATTAAGTTGTACAAACTCAAATCAACAGTACTGGTTTTAGTGATCTGAATTAGTTTGTCTTTACTTTAATTATTATGTTAAAAGTAAATATATAATATAGTTTGCATTTAATCAACTAAGATAAGAGGAACCACATGCCATAACTTAATCAAGCAAATTTAACATGTCATTTTATAGTGCATGTGGTGAGTCAAGTAAAGTCCTACAAATAGCTTTTTGAATTTTGAATGGTGTTTCCACTTAAAAATTGTACTAAACGGATGACAATTGTGTGCAGTATTTTGAAACAATAAAAAAAAGAGTTTTAGAACTACGTCTAGATAAGAGAGCAGGAATTGTGTTTGTAATGTAATGTTGCATCATTGTGCCTTAAATATAGTGGAGGATTTTCGCGAATTTTTGAAAAGACCCACCCTCTCCACTTAAAAAAAAATATGCACATGCACAACCCTGTACCCGCTTCTGAGACAGAACGTCCATTAAACGTGTGTGAGAGCATGCATGAGCCCATTTCTCCTCCTGCACGCTCTGTTTAAAAGTTGCTGTTTGCATCACTACAAGCTAACTTTCCCAAAGAACATTTGCAATGTTTCCACTATGTCAGACTCACCACAGGTAAGTGAAAATGGGGATCTTGGAAGGCCTTACGTAAACATATCACCAGAATAATTGACAATTAGGAAGAAAATTTATTTTGATGATCCAACCTGAAAAAAACATCCTTCACTATTCCTTTAAGTTCCAGTTTTTATGTTCAAACAACTGGGAAAAAAACTGCAATGCCAACATATTGTGCATCACTACATGACCTCATCCCCACGGTTAAACATAATGATGGCAGCATCATGCTGTG